TAGGTGTCTAAGTTAAGAATTAGCTATTGTGAGTGAGCTGTAGCAGTGCCAGAAATTAGATGTTAACCTTTGCGAGGTGGAGGAAGGGAGACAGAAGTAAGGTGGAGTGTAATCTGCTCTGGTATGTACAGCTAGTTGAGCTATTGTGTAATCAATCCAAAATTAAATTTAAAAATATGTATTTTTGTGAATTAGAGTTCATTGCAGCTATTACATTTTCCATTTCTCTGAAAAAACTTAGACCTGTGGAAGATGAATGCACCCCAGTTCTGCACCTGGGATGGTGCAGCCCTGGATGTACAGACTGGGGAATGAGAGGCTGGAGAGCAGTGCCATGGGGTCTTGGTCAGTGGCAAGTTGAACATGAGTCAGCAGTGCCCTGGCAGCCAGGAGGGCCACCTGTGTCCTGGGAGGGCATCAGGCACAGCATTGCCAGCCAGGCAAGGGAGGGGATTGTCCTGCTCTGCTCTGCACTGGGGCAGCCTCACCTCGAGTGCTGAGGGCAGTTTTGGGCACTAAGAACATTAAAAAGCATTAGCCTATTAGAGAGTGTTCAAAAGAGGCCATCAGGATGGTGAAGGGTTTGCAGGGGAGGCCACAGCCAGTGGCTGAGGGCACTTGGTCTGTTCAGCCTGGAGGAGGCTGCAGGGAGACCTCAGTGAGGTCTTCAACATCCTCATGAGGGGAAAGGAGGGGCAGGCACTGATCTCTTCTCTCTGGTGACCAGTGACAGGACCTGAGGGAAAGGCCTGAAGCTGTGTCATGGGAGGTTTTTGTTGGATATTAGGAAAAGATTTTTCACCCAGAGGGTGATTGGTCACTGGAACAGGCTCAGCATCTTGCCAAAGTTCAAGAATCATGCAGGGCCAGGAGTTGGGCTTCAATGATCCTTATGGGTCCCCCTTAACTCAGGATATTCTATGATTGTCTGTTTCCATGGAATAGGAGACCACCAAAGACTGGCCTATGACGAGTTTTATAAAATAATTCCTGGTATTATATTATTTGCCAAGAAAATCCGATGACACGTAAGTAGCGAAAATAGATTCTGCAGTGTTTTCTTTTATTTGGGCATTTTGTCCTATAATCTCTGTCCAACCCCATATCCAAAGCATCCTCATCATATATTAATGCCATTGCAGCAGTTTTGTAACTTTGCCATGGCATACAGGGACCTGTTCCTGACTAACTTTGTATTTTACCTTGCTTTAACTCCTAAGAGCGTGCCCCAAACAATGTCAATATTTTGGGGGAGATCCCCCTTGTTTGCTGCTTTTTCACTAGGAGTGCTGGTTTTCTGGGAGCACATTCCTGCGCCCACCTTCAATGGAATAGGTAGATGGTCGTAACAGACTGTCCTGTATCATGGCAGCTACAGGGTTTATTCTTCTAGGAAAGCTTTGGATAGTGTTGTCACAATGAGCCATGCTTCTGGCACATATACTGCAAAATTCAGGTGGTCTGTTGTAGTCAGCATCTCCTGTTCTCTAGCTCTAGATTGCTCCTGGTATGTTTTCAGAGGTGTTTTTGGGATGTACTCACTTTGGGAGCTGAGCACTGCCTTTCACCATACCCTTCTCTCCCAGGTGAGTATGGAAAGAGTAGAAATGCAGCACCAGTGCCTTAGATCACTCAGGCAGTGCATAGTTTCTAATTATTTGTCATGACAGAACATTGGAGGTGTCAGAGAGGACTCTTGATATCAATTTCAGCATTTGCTGATTTTATAAAGTGGCAGGGCAGTTATTTTCTTATGAATAGTTACCAAATTGAGGATTTTTTTTAAACAAAACAGTCCTCATGCAGATACTGGCACAGGCTGACCATTGCAAAACATCTCCATTTGTAAGCTTTTGCAACCACTAAAATATCCCTGTTGTTTGCGGTGACATTGTAAAGGAAGAAAGTAAATGTTGTGTGAGACAGAAAAAGAACCAGCTGTTACGCTGAATTCCAGTTTTACATTAACAGGACAGTTATTTCAACTCATTTTTTCCAAATTCTAATCAATATTAAAGGGGGAGGGATAGAATGCTTAAAGCTCAATGGGAAGAATTTTTCTGTTTTCACATCTACCTTTTTTGCAATTGTGGGGCCCAGCTTGTGGAGTAAAAGGAATATTGTAAATCCTGAGAGGCACTTTTTAAATACAAAAAGATCACTTTGTCATCATCATCCTCATCCCCATTGTGCTGGAATATAATGATGTGGGAAATGGTGAGATGTAGTTGCATAACTCTGAAAGTTGGCCTGTATTCCTTCAAAGGGAACAAGAAAGAATAATTCCTCTGAAAATAGTACTCTGACTTGAAAACACCATATTTTGTTATAAAAGCAAGTTCTCTGTCTTTTTTTTATTTTTACTGTAGAATGTAACTAATCTGAAGGTATTTCAGATTAGAGTTTGTTAGACTGGAACAGTATTTTTGGGCAGTTGTCCGTTTTCACTGGCACAACAGTAGCAAGCATTCTAATGATTAGCTGATTAGTGACTGCTCAGAATCCAAGGAAAGGAAGAAGAAAAAATCTAAATTCTCAAGATTCTGGTAATTGACAAATCTCTTCTCCCTTTATAGGCACAAAGAGAATTTTGCTTCATTATTCAGTGTGAAAGTGAAAGGGTGTTCTTTAGAAGTGTGGGTTTTTAACATTCTCTTGCAAAATTTCTTTTTTTCTTGTTTTTGAGGACAAATTTCTTAAAAGTATGACTCTTGGACACTGAATGCCCATTTGAAAACTTGTTTCTGCTCTTTGGCTAGTTCCCTCTATGTGTCTGAAAACGTTTAAAAAAGGACTTGAAATTATTTTCTGATCTTTCAGCGGGGAAGGCACTCAGCAGCATTAAAGCATTATGGGATGGCATTATATTCAATAGGAGGACACAGCTAGAAGTGCCCATGGAGCCTACATTCAAGAGCTTTGGAATAATTTGGGCACTTTATGTTAGATCATCTGTCATGCCGAAGTCTTTTAGTCTTACTTTGTGTTTTGGGTTTGTGCAGCAAGATTTTGGTAGTGGGGGGAAGATTTTATTTTATTTCTCATTATCTTGTTCGATATTATATTAAAGTGATTTCTCCAAGTCCGTATTTTGCCCATGATGGCAGACAGTCAGTGATCTCTCCTTGCCCTTATCTTACCTTACAGCCTTTAATTCTATTTTCTCTTTCCTGTGCTGCTGAGCAGAGGAGAGCAGCTTTGGTGAGCACCTGGTGTCCAGCCAAGGTCACCTCACCCCACCTTGCTTCAGGGCAGATGTACCTTCTCTCCTGCTGAACAGATCATCTGCCACTTGAAGAAGGTGTGTGGGTTTTGTTTTAGTTAAGCCATGATAGGATTTTGAGAAGCTCAGTCAATTTGATGACTTCCTATTAATGAGAGATTATAATCTAAGATCTCATGGGCCCTGGGGAATGCAAGTTTTGTTTCACTTGCTAACATAAGAAAGTAAGTAGAAAATGAGAAAACAGATAAAATTGTATCATACAATCTCCTTTTGCTTTAGTCCTAATAGCCCATCTTTAGTAAAAGAGAGACTGCCGTCATCTGTATTTATACCAAAAATGGTTCTCATGCTCAACAGACCACCATGCTCCTAATCCTGCATTTTTTTCTGAACCTCATTCTCACCTAAGATGAAGGTGTATTCCTTTTACTAGGTGTGTGGTGTGTGTTGTAAGCTTTTTTTGTTTGTTCTTGCAGTTTTGTTTTTGTGGGGTTTTTCGACATAACCATGGGATTTATTAAGTCAGCAAGACTTTTTGTACATTTGGGGATCAGTGGAAAGAAAATGCTATTTCCACTTGGTGCTATTTTGGTGGATTAGGCAGTTTTTCAACATAAATATTAGTTTGAGTGATAATACCTCAAGGACTCCCAGCTACATTGGTGCTACCTGAGACTTTTGCACATATTTTTCATCATAGCACTCTTGGCATAAAGGTCTGATACTCTATGTGATAAAAATTCTGCAATTATTATCTAAATTCATTTATTATCTAAATGACACTTATGGGAACCAGATGAAGATACTACTTAAAAAAAAAAAGAAAGTTTAAATATAGTACCACACTAGAGGTTGAGCAACATACTAGAGGTAAAGCAACTAAAGGTTGCTGCATTGTGTAAACACTTGCATTGTGTAAACACCTCTGCTCAGCCCAGCTTTCAGTGGGTCCCCAGGTTTAGCAGAAGAAGTGAAAGTAATTGGCCTGGTGGCCCATTTATGACTACAGCACTGCAGGAAATTTCTCAGGGGAGTCTGCTGGTTACTGTGTCTAGGAAAATTCCCAATGCTTCTTTGAAACACAACATGTCCTTCACTGGGAATATTCAGAGGGATTGTTCAAAAAAACTTAGCAAGCAATTAATAGCAATAATACTTCAGCTCATATTCTATATGTTTCACGTGTTTTTTTGTCAGTTCTATTTGATATATTCCAAGTGGTTTGGGTTGTTTTTTTTTTTTATTTAGAAAGACATCATTTGTTTTGACACTAATGCCTGCAAATACTATGTTCAAAACTGTTTCTTAACTATATTGACACTTCCCAATGTAGAGAGTTTAAAAAATTTAGCCTGATGGTCAAATTCTCATATCTAAACTACATATTTAAGTAGTGGATTCAGTTTTGCATATGTCAAGGTAATACAGTAAAAATAGATGATAATGTGTATATTAGAAGCATCAAGAACAAAGTTATTTGTTTTAGTGAGAGCAGCTGTACATTTAAAGAATTGTTGCTTTCTCTCTATGTTTGATGTGTATGTATTTATATTACATTACTTATCCTATTCTTTCCCGTGCCTTGTTCATTTTAATTGTGATAAAAAACTACAGCTTACATGTAACAAAATATAATCAGGGCTAGGTTCTTCTTGCACTTACATTCCAAAATACTTGCTGTTTCCCTGGTGATGAGGATGCCTGGAAAAAAACCCCAAGGCATCAATTGAGGGTAAGAAATTGGCTCATGCAGTTCCTTTCTTTCTTTTGCTAGTTCTAAGCCTCCATATATCACCATGTCCTTCTGCCTGACTGAGATGTTTCTGTGGTCTTTGAAGACCAACTTACGTATTAGAGGTGAGCTGTTATTTGTTACTAAAGAAATCATCAAAGCTTGTTGTGGATATTAAAATAATATAAAATTCTGAATACCCAAATGAAGTACTTTTTATACATAGGAGAAAGAAGATTAGCAGCAATACAGTGTTTGAATTTGGTCAGCTTCTTTGCTTGTCTTGTCATGGAACTGGAGCATCCTTTCAAGTAAAAAATGCTAAGACTATATTTGATTGGATGCATTTCCTTCTCGAGAAGCTGTGGCCTACTTGACTGTGAGCTTCAGTTTAATGACTAGTTTGGGTAAAGGATCCACAGTCAAGTGAACAGCAGAGGCGTTGTGATTTGTACTCAATGTAAAAATAAAAGTTTGCTGCATGTTCTGGGTATTTAGCATGATTACTTGAAATTTCATACTTACAAGAATACATTTGTCTTATTATTATTCCAAAAGTCTTATTATTGTCTTATTATTGTTCCAAAAGACATATAACTGATTCCTAGCTATGTGTAAGTTACCTTCATTCATCTTGCCTTGCTATTCCTAAAATATAATCCAAAAAGACCCCACTGGTTTATAAGTGGACTATATCAAAAGATTATTTAGGGCACATCATGTCAATTGTACTGTACAATAATTTTATTGAAATATTATTTTGAATCATCAATTGATATTCAGCTGCATGTTATTACTTAAATACTGATTCAGTGTGCCTTGACATCTCATCTTTGTGTGAGAACTGTCTTATGGCAACAATAAGATCAAAAGCTCAAAAGCTGTATTTAATAGAAAAATCTGATGGTTTAAGTAAAAACGCAGTTGTGGTTTATTGTAATTTAAGGTCTGCTGTGGAGTTCTGTGCCTATTTTCCACTTTTGACCTTCTTGCTTCCATTTATTCATTGCCTAGCTGCTTCATTCAAAAATTCTGAGGCAGAAGGGAGGATGATGTCCTAGTTTAAAACCTGCCTGCCTTTTCAGTGCCTTCCTACATTTTTTTTCCATGTAGGGAATTTCTCCCCATGGAATACTCCTGTCTGACTTCAAGAGGACACGGATGCAGTGACAAACTAATTATTTTAAAACAATGAAACATAATGCTGTACTTAGACCTGCCTAGTGGAGCTTGCTATGACAGGTGGCAAAAACACCCTTAAGTGTTACCTGTCAGCCACATCAGGAACTGGCTGATGGGGTTGCAGTCCCTATGCAACTGAAATATCCAAATTTCTTTGCCACAGGAACCAGCTAGATGATAATAGCCGTGGATTAGGAATATTGGATCATTTGAAAGAGCAGCTTTATGAGTTCATGAATCTTAAAAAAAACCCCTCCAACCCGTTGCCTTTAGCTCAGCTGTGTCAGTCATCAGAAGACATTTTAAAGTTGTTATTCTAAGATACAATTTTCACCATGATCCTTACCTTTTCTTGTGAAAGAACATAAAATATACCAATTAGGAAGGTGGTAGAAATACTTTTGCATGTGTGCAGCTGGAAGGGAATCAAAGGGAAATGACAGCTCCAAATAAACGGAAGGGCTTGTCACATTCTTCTTCATGCTTTCTCTGCTGGTTCTTTAAAGTCCCAATGGTATTCAGGCTATCTGCTCTGCTTGTATTTTAATACCAAACACTGCTTTAGCAGGCAAAAATTGAGGTGCTGAACCTTGCTTTCTAAGTTGTGTTCTGTTTCTAGTGCAACATCCATAATTTAATGTATTTACATTTAATTGTACAGATGAAGACATTGGGATCCACCAGTACAGTGACAAGAAAGAACCAGGTAAAATAGAAATAACCATAACTGAAACTAAACAAAGCTTCAAGATGTTCAGTGTTTGACATCAACTTGCTTTTGAAGCTTGCTCTTAAAAAGCAGCTTCAAATTTCTTGTTAGTATATACCTCTGTATTTCTATGGAGTAAGGAAACACTGAAAGTTTCTCTCCCCAAACTAATGTAGAAATATTTAAAAACTTCTTAAACCACAGAAGGAAAAAAAAGAAAAAAAGAAAAATATTCACATAAACCCAACCATTATGTAACTAGAAATCTCTGTGGGATTTTGCACTCTGAATTCTTACGGGTTTTAAGATATTTTATGTCATGTGGAGCTCAGCGCACTGCCAGGTGATCGCCGATCCCAGCAGAGGGCACCTCTGCCTGCCCTCCGGACTGGCCATTCTGGGGCGAGCGATCCATTTCCTTCATCTGATTAATCCTGGTAATCCTACAAGTCTCCCCACGGTCCGAAGGGGCTGTAGGGCTGGAGTTGCCCCCCTTTCCGCCAGTGCTGTGTCACTAGAGCCTGTGCAGACAGACCGACGGACCCGGCTCACCTCGCTCCTGCCTGGCGGGACTGGGGCTCGGCGGTGCCAGCCCACCTGTGCGGCAGTGTCAGCCTTTTCTTTCACTGCGAATTTAAGATACCTGCCTTACAGGGTGAAAGCATTGGGGCTGCCTTGATTGTTTTGGAAATTTTCGTGTTTTACTCAACTGTGCTAGTCCTCTCTCTAATATTAATATTTGCTGGCAGCAGTTGTAAGGATTAATTCATCTTTTCATCCTCTTTCCTTTAGCATCACGGATGAAGCACAGTTTCTTAGAAGAGAAGCAAAAGCTAGCAGAATGTAAGGATGTTTTCTGAGTTTCTTCTTACAGTAAGATCAAATGGGAAATTTGGATTGGTTATGCCCCTGGAAGAGCATTAAAATAACCTCAGACTGCTTCCAATGTAACTTTCTGCACATGTCGTCTAAGACTGATGATCACAGGACTACACAGCACAAAACAATTGAAAATTTGTAATTATTCCTTCCTGGTATATTTGCAATCTCTTGGGTTTTTTTTCCCTGTCGCTAAGCATGGTAGTGTGTATTGCTTTTCAAATCCATTGTCAAGAGGAGTCCCAAAAATAATCCAGATTTTTCTTATGAAATTTGCCTAGCAGATGAGCAATGAACATTTTCCCAATCGTCTCTTGACTTGCAACACGAACTGGCTTAAAGCTGGAAATTGTAACTAAAATCCTTTCAGCCAAAATCAAATTCCAGACTAATAATCAGCTGCCTTCATAGAATGATTTTAGCTTTGAAACATTTGCACTGTCCCTGCTCTATCTGGTTAAAAGCAATTTCAGTTCATGCTATCACACAGCAGTACTGTGACAGTTAAAGATTTTTATGTTAGTGCAACTTTTCTTTAGCTCAAGTTTTATAACTCCTGCATTGCTCAGAACATTCATTAATGTTCATACATTATTACATGACAACTCTGAAAAATCTAATTGATTTTTTAGACAATTTCATAAAGCAATGTCTATGCTGTTGGCTTATCCAAATGAAAATTCCCATGGAACTGTACATGCATATGAAGACAAAAATGTGTTCTGAAAGGATTAGTTCTTCCCATACTGCAAGGTGTGTTTGGAGCAGGTTGAAGCCCTCTGGGGGCTTCATCCCCTGCTTGGGATGGGTATGAAGGTGCAGCCATGTGGCAAATCCACACCCGTTGCAGAGGATGCTGTTCAGGCAGGATCAGTGCAGCTCTGGGAAGGTGGGGAGCTGAGGGAGGGTTTTAGGGAGGGAGGAGCCTCACAGGTTTGCATCACTTGTGCTCAGTGTAGTGTTGTCCCACAGGGCTGCATGTATGAAAGAAGGAGCAGGCCCAGATAAACCCTGTCACCAGCAACCCCAGTGGTGCCTTTTACACGTGTGACAGGCAAAAGGAACTCAAGCTGCTGCACCTTGTCCCTGGGAATGCAGGGTTGCCTCTGGCACAAAGCCTGCACAGCACATTTTGCAAAGAGGAGCACTGTGGAACTTTATTCTCAGCTGTTGATTTGTACAGATAGTTTGGTATCTGTCCAGGCAATTTCCCATTTTGCATATGTGGATAAATATTCCAGTATTTATGAAGGCACCCATTGAAAATCTTACATGCCTAATTAATATTATCATAACAGTTCCACCAATGCTGGCTTCAGTCCAATGAAACACAAAGAGAATTTGTATGCTGGTGTCCTCTTTTGTTGATGTATGGAATCCTTCATTTTTTCACTGTATAGCACTTCTATTGTAAGCTCCTTTTTGCAGGGAGGTTTAAGCATAACTGCTAAGTCATTCAGTCTGGAGGTTGGCATACAAACTGGCAGCTTGGAGCTCAAAACTTTTCATCAGGTTTCCTTTAAATAGGAATAGATTATAAACACTGTGTTCTAGTTTCTCATGGTTTTATTGTACGCTTATGAACAGAAAACTGCTCACTTTTAAATGAAGAAATTTCACAAGTTATTAGAGCCTGATTCTTAGCCATGAAACAAGCCAATTACTGGCAATTCCAGAGGAAGCTTTGCCTCCTGGTTGCTAGAATTAATGTATTAGGCCAGAATTTTCACAGTAGTGTGCTGAGCACTAATAAATTTGTTAAAGGACTTCAGCAGTCATGCAATTTCTTTTTTGCTTGACTTGGCGGATTCTTCAGACAAAATTTTCAAGAACAAACTATAAATAACTAGACTCCGTAAGTTATGGCATTCACATTTGCCTGTTATTAATACTTCTGTATATGCATATATTCATGCATGTATTTTGCAGACATGTTAGTGCCTGCTTTTTGAAATTAGACAACAAAATATTAGTTTAGAAGAATAGAATCAGTTTAGGATGCTTGTAATATACTGAACAGCAGATACTTTTTTGCTGCAAGTGCCTAGCAGCTGGGTAAGCTTTGCACACAATTGCCACGGGGAAATCATGGTCATTGTGGATAGAGCACGCCAACTGTTCCTATGATTGAGCCTTCCGAAAACAGATCCTTTGACAATAGAAACCATTTCCTTCCAGCTGTAAGTAAGTTTTACATGTAAAGTAACTCCTAGAAATCTTGGGTTTGTGTTTCCACAGAAAAGGAAGTTCAACTCATAGGACTTTTTAAAATATATAAATATATAAATGTATATTGGCACACACATGCACATGTATATGTATACAATCGCTTATATATACATATTTCTCTACCATCTTTATTTTTTCACCCTCTCTTTTATTTGACAGCTCGAGATTATCCTTGGATCCTGAAAACCAAGAGACCAGACAAACTGCGAGATGCACTCAAGGAGGTAGAGGTATGGTTCAGAAAGGTTCAAGCACAGTAACATATACTCTGGTTTTCAAATCTCTTTCAACAGCTTTAATTTTTATAAAGATCCAGCTCTCCCAGTGATGATAAATGTGCTTTTGTCTGGTGGGGTCTTCCATAACAGCTGCATCTTTGTGTGGCATTTTTCATCTGTAAACTGGAAAATCAGAAGTCTGTTAACTGATAGTGGCAATGTGTGCTGCCAACTCCACTCTCTGTTTTCTGTTGTCCTTTAGGACTTAATGCAGAACAGTCCATGTGTGCTGAGCAAATGGAAGAACAAACATACCTGTCAGGTACAGTGTCATCAAAAGGTCTTGCAGTGTTCAGTCGGTGGTGGAAGCAGTAGTGTTAAAATGGTAACAGAAAATCACCAGAGTTCTTTTAATATGTGGGCCCTTATTAAGTAAATCGAGTTTATTTAAATTTCTACTCTGAAAAGCATGCTTCAAATAAAAAGCCTGGGAGTTTATCAACACAAAGAAATTACATTAAAAAGCCTTGATTCTGTGAGGAGATGATCATGGTGATGGTGATTACTCTTATTATTGTTAATTATTGTTATTGTTATATTACTATTACTGTTTGGGGAAACTGAAAACATCCTGTACCTCAAAATAGCAGGCTGAGGGAGCAGCTATGTTTTAAAATATATAGACAGATCTGGAATCTGTGTTATATTATTTTTATGTCTTAATTATCTATATATCTGTCACAAATCTTTTTACTTTATGCTTGTATAACATGAAAGGGAAGTTATAACTCTAAACCAACTATATCATTAATCAAGTTATGGAATGAAAGATATTGTGACATGTGGCACACATATAGTTATGTTCTCTGGCTATATGAGTTCCACATTTGTGTACAAGAAACCCTTTGTCACATCCTCACTAAGACAGAAGATTAGGGCAGGGAAGAGAGCTGAACATGAAGTGCTCCATAATCATGTGCTTCTTCTGAAAAACATATGTAGTGAATTTTATATGTTTATACAACCTTCATGAGGAAATGCGTCATATCTGAAACTGCTTTGGCATGGGGAATACTTGTCAATATTACTGTTTCAGAAAAGGAACTTTGTCTTCTAACTTTTGTGCATTTTCAGACTCATCATTTTTTCTTCTTATTCAAGTAGTTCCAAATGTGTGTCAGCAAAATGATTGTTAAATATCCAAACACTGTACAGCTAAAATTCCAGAAATGCCTTTAGGAATAGCTAAATTTTTAATGCTTGACATGCCAAATGGTGTGTAGTATTTTCATATTAATAATAAAAATATGATTGTCTAAGCTACATTTGCCTATCAGATCTTACTGCTAGTAAACGTATATCATTCACATACAAATTACATAGTATACATCTGTGAATGTTAATCTTCTAGAGCTGATTTAAATATTAATTGCTGATTTGGGGGAATCATTTTTTTCCTGTTATTGTTCTGATTAGGAAAGGAATTTGGTTAAGGAATACCAAGTCAATTAGCTGTGAGTGCATTCATTTGCATCCCAGTTTGCTGTCTCTTCATTAGCTTTCCTTGTCCATTCTTCCTGTACCATTTTCCTTCCCCTCCCATTTATCAGCATCCACCTGTAGTGTGTACAGTACATACTTTGGAAAAGTAAACTTCTTGCCAGGATTGTCATCCTGCCTTTACAATATAACATCTTTGGCTGACTATCAGTTCTGTGTAAAACTCTTCTTTATTTTTTGATTTCACATCCTCTAAGTTATTTCAGTTTCTCATCAACATGAATGAGACAAATACAATTTAACTTCTTTCTTCTACAGGATGGGAAAGAAGAGAGATGGGTGTTTTCATCGTAGTATATTAAGTATTGAACCATGTAAAGGGGTAGTTTAATAAATTGAGTACTTGGGGTGTTTTTTCAGATGGCTTCTAAGGCCAGAGTATAAGTGATGATATAGGTTATAATATAAACAGAGTGAAGGTTATGGATAAAAATCATAGCCATTTCTCTGTCCTTAAATTCTGCTTTTGATTTCTCAATCACAAAACAAAATGTTTTTTGTTTAATAGTGACTGATTATTGAAATCTCCAACAAGAGTTAGAATGTTTTGCCAAAACAATTGTGTTATTCCACTTTCTGTCTTCCTGAAAATAGAAAACCTCCAACAAATGGCAATAAAATAGAGAAAAATGAACCATTTGGAAGAGTCTAGAAAAGAAAAGCTGTCTTCTATCAATTTTGATGTCAGATGGTTTGTTTTTCTGCTGCTCATCTGTCTTTGAGCATTTGGCAGCAATAACTGCACTCTTTGATGCAAATGTTCTGAAGCTTCTGGAGAAGATATTGTATATTTATTTTTTAATTATAAGCAGAATACTAATTAACTGTTTCAGCAGAGACTGCTTACCACGCAACAGTGTCATCTGTGGCATAACACTGCTGTATTCACAGCCTTTTTTGGATGAATACCAGAGCTAGTGGGAAGAGTCCATATTTGCATTAACTTTGGAGAGTTAAAGCAATGTGTCAGATAAACAGCATGAAGAACATGTAAGAGATTACCCTGATTTTCATAATTTCAGTGTTTGGGGTTAAATTTGAGCATATGGTTTTAATTTTAGTATCTATTTTTCCTTTGTTTTTAGTAACAATACAATGTCAAATAAACTTCTTTCTAGAAATTAAAATATTTAACTCAACAGTCACATTTCCCCATTTTGCACTAACTGTTATTTATATTTGAATCTGCCATGTCTGTAGCTGAACCAGGAGCATTTCCCTTTGCATTGTAATGACAATGTGCTATCCAAAAACTCAATGGCTACTGTACCTTGAGCAAGACAAATGGAAAGAAAACTGAATGGTGATGCAATGAAAACAAGATTGTCCTTTAAAAGATTAGTGTGATTTCCCTCAGATAAAACAAGCATAGAGCTGCTGCCAGTGTGCCTTCGGTAGCCTAAGTCTCCCACTATTCCTAATCCCTCACTCTTCCTCCAGCACTTTCATCTTAGAAGTGGCCCACAGGCAAAAATTGGGGGCTGTAATTTTAGGCGTGTATCTGCTAAAAATAAGCGTGCTGTCATGTTAACTATTTATGTGCAAATGGCCAATTAGACTTCATGCATATGCCCCATGAGAAATCCAGTTATTTTGCCTGCAGATTATCTTGTCCATTGCATGAGTGTATTTCTCAAAGTTGGCTTTTCTATATGAGTTTGCTTAAAATGACCATAATGCTGGCCTGGTTTTCTACCTTTGTTAGACTTTCATTTTATGCATTTTATCCTATTACTTTGTGTGTGTGTGTGTGTGTGCAATCAGTGCATTAGACGTTTCATTGCCAAAAAACCCCAATGACCTTTATTTTTGCAGTCCTAAGTATACATTCCAGCGCTGCTTAGAGCTTCTGAAATAGATGATGTGCCAGTTCATGTAAACATAACCTAGACAGTACAGGGATTTTTGTCAAGGAGCTTGCTCTCATATTTAAAAGAGTTTTGTTGAGTCCTAAAGGACTGAGGTCTTCTCTTTAGCTCTGTTCCAAGAGGATCTGAACCCACACCATTTCTGTATGGTACTTTTGACCCCCAACTTTAATGACCTGTGTTGAGTTGCTGAAATAATCCTGTGATCTTCAGTTGATGTCAAAGGAAAATAAATACACCATAACAGAAGGATGACAGGAAAAAGACAAGAAGTCTTTACAATAAGATGCCACTGTACTTCTCAGCTTTCCCTGCCAAGGAGTAATAACTTAAGGAATTAATTTTATCAGTATCATTGCGTTTACTCAGCTCAGCTCTGGCTGCTTCTTGTCTTGGACTCCTTCTCTAATTCTTTGGAATGCTTTTAAGTTTTGCCACAAAATCATGAAACCTCCCTATGAAATTATGCCATTGGTTAAGTTTTGTTTTTACAATATAAAGCAGTAAAAATAAATGAGATCTAGCTGAAACATTTGATTTCCAAAGTTTTTTAGTTTTACATTTGCATTATGATGTTGAGTTTAACGCATGCCAACATTGTTATACAGTTTATTGTATAAAAGCCAAGCACTAGCTATGAATCATATCTGTTACCTGCTAATGAAAAAGATTTATGTATACTTTCCTAAATTGTTTTGATTTCATTTAGTTGTATTTGTTTTGCAATTTATGTATGTGTATAAATAGTTTTTCTGTTGCCATTGTCGACATACTTAGAACTGGATTCTGAATTGAGATCCACAGCAATATTTTCTTGCTTGTTCTATGAGCTACAATGCCCATTATCAAACTGATTTAGCAAGACACATGGTGACATAGCACATTTGATATCAAAACCAAGGCATTCTGTCTAGAATATGAGAAGCCAGCACCCATCCCCAATTACTAAGAGGAACACTGCCCTCATATTAAATTCTTTTGATTGCTTTTGATCACAACAATGTATTGTGTGGTTTTAGATATTTGGAGCTAGAAGTACAAATGCATTGATTATTGTGAAACAGTAACATGTAACAACAATAACTTCATCTGTAATAAGGCATGCAACACAGTAATTATGATGGGGTGGCTAAGAAAGCAATCTGGAATGAAGAGGTGGGGAAAAACCCTGGGAACCTGCTTGAACAAGTGCTTTGTAATTCTCTTCTTTTGCATATTCCTTTGTCAGTTGGGCTCTCTAAGGGAAAACAGTTTGCAGCAGTATTTATTACAGGCATATTTTCCTTCTCTTCCAATTTTAATCAGATAGAAGCAAATCCTGGCTTTGCTCCACAGGTATCTTTTTAGGTAGAAGGGCTGATAAGCAGCTGAGCTGCATGAATGAAGAGTCAAGGGCTCAAGCTTCTGAGGATAAAGGGATCCACTTAAGTTGATGCTTAATTTATACTAAACCATTAAGTTGATTATTTAGTTGTACTAAATTGTTTAGTTGTACAACTTATATTGTTCATAAGTCATGAACCTCTACTTAAGTCTTTTGCTTAATAAAAACTCTCTCGAATACATATTGGAGTACTTTGCTGTCAGGGAAGCACTAAGTCTTCATTTGAGTATCCTTTGCTACTTATGCCTTTCTTGCTCAGTGGGAACAATTTTTGGCATATAAAATAGATAATCCTTTCTATCAAAGTCTTCACATTCAGCTCCTCGGTAACAGAGAAATTAAGTGGCACTTCCTTCCCAGTATGTAGAATAACCAGATGCCCAAACATTTTACTCGGATTACATTCAAGTACAAAGTTTCTGCCATATTCTTCTGATAGGTATGAAGTCATGCTTTCATATTTTGTGACTGTTTAAGCTCTGGAGATAGCTCTCCTGATTCTGTTTTTCCCATCACAGTACTTCAATCTGGAAAATTTATGATGAGTTTCGTCATTGTGAATTTCTTTCCCTAATTTAATATCTGTTAGATGGAATGATGTAGTGCCTTGTGTAAATAATGCCTCCAACATTAGCTTTTATTCCTTAGCATTGATGGGCTGTTCCATTTGGAGTTGGATCACTGTGTATCCATGTTCAAGCCAAGTTTGCAGTCTTCCGTATTTGCTTTATATTCATTCGTGCTTGTGACTGGACTGCTTCCATCCACCAAAATTTGAGCTTAACTAGGCAAGTTTATGTGTAACAGCACCTAAATCTTATTATCATGGAACAGTCTTTGCACAGACTACACAGAATGTAGCAAATTGAAATAGTGGTTTCAATTTGAGCACATAAGTATTTCCTCTTTTACAGAATATCTTTGATGAAAACATAGAATCATAGAATCATTTAGGGTTGAGAAGACCTTTAAGAGTGAGTCCAGCTGTTAACCTAATGCTCCAAAATTCATCACTAAAACCTGTCCTTAAGTTCTACATCTACACATCTTTAATATCTCCAGGTGTGGTGACCCTACCACTGCCCTGTTTTCTTTAAGTGCCTGCCTGTACTTCATTGTAAACTCGAACAAATTAAAAAAACCCCTCATTTCTAATCCCAGGCATTTTTTAAGGGAGATGGATGAAATACTAAACTTGCATGGCAATATAGTGTGTAAAGTCTCTGATTAACTTTTTGAATTTAGACTCTAAAAGTTTCTAGAAGAATGAACTTAAACCTATGGACCAACCACACTAACTTATTATAACAGAGATTTGTTAAAATACAATTTAAGATTTCCCACATATCTCAAGAGTTCTGAGGAGAATAATGAGAAAGAATATTTTGCTGTAAAATGGAAGAAGGAGGAGCACAATGGGAGAAACAATAAAAGTAATGGAAATGATACTACATTTACCTGCTATCTGTGATTCTGTCATGCCATAGTGATAATACAGAGATCCATACAATACTGAAAATCCATAACACTGGTTTAATGACTAGTTTCATGGATGTAAAGCAAAGCACACCCATTAGCACGATATTTTATATTTATATAAATGTCTTGTCATGAAACACTGGAGAGGTTTTCATTGATTTCTATTCTAGCTCTGTAACAGGTGTGATTTATGCCATTATCAGGAAATTAATACATAGGCATAAAGTGAATTTACACCGTGACTGCACCATCTCTCTTGTTGGCTCATAACACTGAGAGATTGAGGGTGTTTTGCTCACCTCTATCAGGCTGATATCTATTCAGTTGTTTAGGACTGAACTTTCTAGAGTATTTATGTAATTTTGCTTCATTGTTGCTTGCATCACAGTTTGGTAGCTCCTGGGTTTCAACCCTCACTTTTTTCAGCAGGTTTTTTTGGACAGTTATAGCCAACTACAGTCAAACTTTGCTGGACTTCATGTTACCAAGTTGGAAATAAATTGTGATTTTATCTAATCTAACTTCAACATAAGGACAAATTGAAGTTTTGAAAGATTGTAATAAAAGCTGCATGAGTGTAAGCGTGTCTAACATTTTTCCTAGGACAAAACCTTAAAGGACATCTGTCATGACAGGGAATATTGAAACACTGACTATACGTATCTGTCGAATGTATGATTAGGCTTTGGCAGGATGGGAATTGGTCATTTGTTCTTAGAAATTAATTTCACATCAAAGGGTTTTATTTGTTTCTACAGCACACTGGTAGAATTTATTTTTTAAACATGTTGGTTAAAGGTGTTAGGGCAGGAATATAATTTAAGTATACTTGTTCTTTGAAAAGCACAGAGGTATAGTAATATAGCAAAATACATGTAAATGAGAATTTTGATAACTAAATTATTGAGAGCAGAGCATTGTACAAGAGACATGCCCAATTATATCACTCCATTCCTGCCCCCCATACTTTTTATTTATACAATCCAGTGGATTTCACTGCAAGAAAGTTCTAAAGATTATATTTCAGCCATATTTGTCTCACAGCTCCAGCACAGAACAAACAGGGAATTTTTTTCTGCCAAATTCTCCAAGAACAAGTGTTTCTTTAGTAGTTAAGTTTTTTAAAAGCACATGGATCTCTTTAAAAATCTACAGTTAGGTAGAAGTAAGAGCTGGAGTCCCCGATTCCTGGCCTTTGGTGGACCCTCTGGACTTGTCTGCAGAGATCTGTCTACTGAGAGTTCTTTTTATGGGCTTTATTTTCTGATTCCTTTGCTGTAGTAGTTGCATTCAGAAAATGACTAATGGTTTAATTATGCAAAAATAAATGGTTTTTGTAACTCCTCCCACTGAACACTTTCATAGAAGATATTGCATAAGGAGCTGATAAATACTGTGACTTAGTCTTCAGGATTATATGTATCATTTAATTTAAATTAATTAGGCATGAATGTTCAATTAACTCTGAAATAACCCTGTCCAATAGTTTAAATTCTTTCTTTCTAAGAGAGACATCTAAAACATTATGTCAACAAGTGAATGGATTTATTGGGTGCTCACAGTTATCTCTGTGGTAGGGAGCAATTATTTATTCAAACAATATATGAATGATCAGAAATAACAAGAACAGCAAAAAGGTGCTGGTTTTAATCTGTGATAATAATAATACAGAATTATATTAAATCCTACTTTATTTTTTTACATGCAGGCTGTGCAGTTACTTTATACAGAAAATATCAGGTCTATAGATGATAGAGTGATCAGTGTAATTCCTTCCCTCCTTCAGAAGTGTTCAAGTGTTCAGCACTTCTTTTTCATTGAAAAAGCTTTCAAAATCATTATAAGACATCATCACATCAATGATAATTAATTTTTGTAATTTTGAAAATTAGATTACTGCATAATTGATGGCTGCTTATATGTACCTTGGAATGTTTCACTTTATCAATGATTTTTGATGTCTTGTTTTCTCACTCTTTGGATTCAGCTCCTCTTTCACTCAGGTATTTTGGTGTCCCTAAGCCTTTCTGGGCCACAGCTGGAGAAGGTGGTGATTGACAGGACCCTGGTGGGGAAGCTCATCTCCAACACCATCAGTGATGGTAATTACACCCATGTGCAAATCAATTGCCTACATTAACAATTGAGTAGAGAAACAGTATGTCAACAGGTTGACTAATTATTGCCACTGGGGATTTGCAAACACAACAAGTAATTGCATGTAATGCTATAGTTACAACCCTCAGGACTAAGAGCACTTTAAGAATAATATTTAACATCAAAGTTTTCAGGCTTGTCAAATGCTGCATGGGTTTCTAAAATTCTGTTTCTTACACACTGTAATCTCTGTGAACATGCCATTTGAACTTACCATGTTTATTTCGTAAGAGGGAAAATGGGACAGAACCAAACATTAGCCAATTGAATAATTGCATGGGATAGTTATTATTTAAAGTTGTTATTAAAAAAGGCTGGATAACATTAGTTATGTGGAGGTGTTCTGATTTAGTTTCATGATACCCAGAATCTCCCTATTGTTATTAATTAGTGAAAGCTAAAAATTAAGTGTCCATTTAATGCAGAAGAAAACTTACAAAAGCGTCCCTGTTTTCCATAGCTTTATGATATGACTCATATAATGGAGAAATCAACTAGTATCATGGCTTCTGCAGAAGCAGGAGTATGGCATTTTGGTGTGAGCCATATTACATGTGCATTACCTTGCAAATTCTTTAAGAGTAGACCCACATTACATCCTTCTAGTAAGAATATGTGCTTGATTCAGGTTTGATCTTTAATGATTTAGTTTTTCTCTCTACCCAGGCATCTGTTGAATATGGCATAGGTTTTAAGAAACTGCAAGATATTGTAGTTTAGTCTTGAAAATTAATATTAATAGAACTATATTAGTAGAATCTTTATTTATAAAAAAAATTAACCCTCATTTTTAATGAACTAATTACACAGAGAGCATAGAACATGCTTACTATCTTGTCTTCTTTTTGTAACTCTTCACTTTAATTACTGGAATACTAATTCCATCTATGTTTTTTTACACTCTGTTTCTGTGGGGAGGATTTCCTACTTTCAAGTGACAAAAAAATAGGAAAGCATGGAATCTAAGGTTATTACCAAATTGAAGTAGTTTGTGGAAATTATTTGGAATACTTCGAATACTTTGTCTTAAAAAAAAAAGTGTGGATCATGCCTTACTTTGGCTTAATATGTCATAGAAATATTTGTTCAAAAGATACTGCTAACTCAATGAGCTTACAACTAAAAAATATGAAGCAACAAACACGTTTTACTACATTTGGACAACTGTATTTATTACATAAATAACATTATGTAATATTTTGTCCTTGTTTTAATTTATTCAAGATTTTATTAAACCCCCATGTTTGCTAATACCCAAGTTTGTAGGTGAAATAAAACTGCCTCTGTTCAGTAAAAGCAAACCGCTCAATAACTTTCATTGCAATACCGTTTTTATTTTCATGAACAATAAAAGAAGATGCTTTTGTTACCTACTCAAATAGTGCTCAAAATACAAATTTTTATACTGCAATATCCTTACATGAGAAGCATGAGATAATGTTGTCCTGGAGGAAATTAATTTTAATTCAACAAAACAGCACATCTTTCCAAATCTGACTTCAAATTATGGTTGTGATTATAAAGCTGGCCAAGAGAAATTCTACATTTAGCACAAGAAGTCTGTATAAAAATAATAGTTCTTACTTCAGCAATTGTGTATATGGAGACATGGATAAGGGTTACAGTCTGCCAGAATTACTTATGAAATGTAATTCTCATTTGGAGTAGCATGTCCTCTTAACATTTGGAATAAAGGTCAGATTGTGTGCACAAAATACAGAATTACTACTGCTTTTATAATCCTCCTGCATCTAAGAAAGTACTCCTGATTCTTATTATTTATAGACAAAATTTCATCTGCATCTGAGGTGTGCTGCAGCTCATCTTTAATGCAAACTACGTCTGTGAGGACATCAAAATATTTTAACTGTGTACCTACATATTGAGGATATATTCAGTGGTTTTCAATTTTCATGTGTGTGCAGGATCTCAGTTATAGCTTCTGAATCACCTTATCAGATGCTTTATCACCTTTTTTTTTTCCAAAAAAGCTAGTGTTAATGTTACATTTCAAAGGCAATTATTTGGCTCTAAACACTATCCTTCAGCATTTGCATACCAGATACTTCAGAGTTGTGCCAGGACATGACTGTTGGAAAATGCTAGTGGTTATAAATCAGACTAAAGAAAAGCAAAGCTGAGTAGCCAGTTTTCCATGCTTGTATGTAAGACTAAAGTGTCAATCTACTTATTGTAGATATGCAAAATTTAGATTTAAAAATCTGGGATATTAGTAGTATGTGATTTTGGTTTTAGTTTCTTTTTCAGATGTTGTTCCATACAGCTTTGTTTGTTTCTAAATCTGGTTCCACTTTAATTGGTGTTTTCCTTATAGGAGAGGTTTCTGAGTTTACAGTCTGAGCCCATCTTTCTAGCTTTATTTTAAACCATCAGTGATCTGGTACTACTTACCCCAATGACTCACTTCTTACTCAGACATCTCTTCAAGCGTGGGTGCTGCTTGAATAACTAGGTAACACTTGGGAAAAATCCTAGGTATAATTTTCTAAGTAATTTTCATTGGCTGATTAGTTAATCACTTTTATATTGAACTAATTTGGTCTAGCACTCCCTTATGATAACAGTGGGGATTCCACTGAGCTTTTCCAGGCTCCAAGGAAGTCTATTCCATCTTGATTACTTGTATTGTTTCTGTACCCCATGTTAAGCTTTCAGGAAATTCATAACCCCTCTAAAGTCTTATCCTGCATGTAATAGCCTCTTTGGTGTCTGCAGCAGCATCAGGAACCTTACAATGTCAAAATACCAGATACACCTCGAGTACTAATTTGCATTTATCACCCTTAACACAAGCTGAGCTATATGAGGTCCATTTGCAAAATACTGTTGGATGCAGCCATAATTTAAAAAAATACTGAAGGCTGAATACTGAGATGAAAATTAATGTGGAAGGGCATAAAATATATATTTGAATGTAGTGGCATTTTGATATGAGATAATTTATTCAGGTATATGTAATCAGAGTATTCCCTAGGCTTTATTTCTCATTTCCAAGAAGGTTGTGACAGGATGATGCACTGATATATTTTAGGACATTACAGGGCTTTCAGTGTAATATTTAAGAAACTGTCTTGAAAAAAATTGCTTTTTGCAGTGCCTCAGTGGAGTATTCACAACTTTGTTTTGTTCCTAGAGACAGGTATTACAGTGCTGACATTTTTTATTTGTGGTTTTTTTTCAGCTGTTCTTACAGACACTTTCATCATCTTGTCATTTGAGGACCATAACCAACTCTGCTTTATTCAGTTTACAAAGACAATGGATTCTCCCGATGTAAACAAAAGACTGGAAAAACTCTCTTGTTTGGATTCTAAGGTACAGCTGCAATGGTGACTGCAAATATTGCAGGAGCTATACATCATGAATCACTGGTGTTCACTGATATTGTATAGCCACATAAATTGCAAACCTTTATATAATTGACCAGAACTGAAAAGTAAAAAAAAAATTAGAATGGCATTCTGAGTCAAAGAGTTAAAATACTGTGCCAAGGGATCCAGATTTCTACTGTGTTTATTTTCAGGCTCTGACATACATTTGAGTTACCCTTGTTTGACAGATTACCTTGTGTCCATTGAGCAGCAGTAAGTGACCCTTGGCACATTCTTAGCATCTAACAAGCGTGAAGCAAAGTCTGTAATGGTAAACCTCAATGTAAAAGATTTAAGTTAATGTGTTTTACCTCTTGTGTGTTGTGGGCTGAAAACACACATGGTCGGTTACCATGGCTCAGCTGATATACACAAACACATGAAGTTCTGATAATTCAGTCATCTGCCTGAGGTTGTAATTCTTTGCAGAGATCTTAATTTCCCCACAAGTTACATTTATGGTGTTGTTGGAAGAGTTGCTTTCAGAATTAAGCCACTGAGTAAGGAATCAAGATAGAGAATCTGAGTTTCTCACCACTGGCCAACTATGTGTGTGACCTTAGGCAAGTGACTTGGTGCCTCAGTGTCTCAATTCACTAGTTACACAGTGAAGATTTAAATACTCCTTTTTTGCAGCCCTTATTGTGGGGGTATGTCTTCACTACAGTGACAGCACCAGATGAAAAGTAGCCTGGAAAGAGCTGAGCTGAGCTTTAAACTACCCAATCTGGAGGTCAGTGAAAATCAGCTCATCTCAAGATGAATTACACTGTGTCATAATTCGTACACTGGGCTGGGTAGACATAACTTATTTCAACCATAGCACTTTGGCATCAGGACACCACTTCCTTAGGTGGAGGTGCTTGGTGCTACAGCAATATGAAAAAATAATCAGCCAAGGCAATTAACTTCGAACAGTTGAAGTAGGGAAGGAACTGCATCCAATTCACTGCAAGAATGAGGAAGGGTCATACCTTTTCCCAAGAAACACAGATACTGTGAACAAAAGAGAGAGTTTGTATTTATTTCAGACTGGATAAACATTAAAGAAAACAATCTTGTGCTAGCAAATATTTTCCCCTTGACAACCCCTCAGTAATTTACTTCCTCACATAAGGGAGCTTGCATCAGCAAGGCAAGTTTTTAAGGATATGTTTAATTTAAGTTTTACTGTAATGTGTTTTAACTTGCTTGGTAGAAATACTTTCTGCTAGGATTAATATCTAATACATTTTCCAGGCTGTTTCAGTTCAGGGCCTCTTTTCAGCAATGGCTTGTGTTTGCAAGATTGATCCAACCTCTATAACGTGGATTTGAGACAGTTCACTGTTCACTGGGAACTGAGCTGATACATACTTTACTTTAAAATGCTGTGCCTTGTGCCTGGCCTGTGGCGTTCATTGAGGCTGTGCTATGGCAGCGAGCTTGGTGTGTGGTGGGGCTTTTATCTTAATAGCACTGAAGTTTAACGAAGAAGCTGTGGTGAACTGCCTTTGTCATTGAAGTGTGAGGGCCACAGCTTCTGACTTAATGTTTAGAAAAACCAGAAATATCTTCTGCACTCTTTAATAGGGTTGTTAAGTTCAATTCTTTGCTGACTCAGCTAAGCTTCTCAAAACACCTCCATGCTCAACATTAACTTTGCTTTCTCTTGAAATCAGTGGGAATCACTATGGAATATTTCTCCACCAGCCAAAAAACGGCATTTGCATTTTTTAATTGAATGTTCTTTTGCGTGAGGCTTCCTAGTTAGGCAGCTAAATGTAATTTTTATTATCTTCAGAATTGCACCAGTGTGAGACTGCAGAAAGTATTATTCACTTCTGCAATAATATTGTGTCAGCTCTCTGCATTGATTTAGAGTTCTTCATGGCTGATTTTGGTCGAACTTCAAAAGCTGAAAGATCACAGACTTGCGTCACTCTCAGTAGAAAAATAAGATGGTCCTCAATTGCAACTGTGCAAACTTGTAATAGTATGTAACAATATGTAACAACGACAAATATTGTGGGTTTAGGGAAAAAAGGGTTCTTTAGAGTCAGGGTATTTGTTCAAGAGAGATTGAATGAAAAACGTAGTGTGGACTGGTGTAGAACTAACACAGGATTAAAATCTGGAGTCAAGATTCAGGAAATTTGATTGTAACCTTCATTTCTGCCTCTGAATTTTGGCGTAGTCTTGAGTATTTGTACTCAAATGTAGTATTTGGGTTTACAGTCCCATTTCTAAAATGAAGAAAGTGTTTGTAATGATATAATTAAATTTCTGTCATATTATCATTGTAATGATAAGCAACCTCACATTGTTCAATGTCCAGGCTCATGGCGGGACTGTCAGAATTCTGTCAATAATAAGAACAAGTCAACCATACTTTCCTCTTCAGACCCTGATATTTATCCAAAAGTTGAGTTTTTTATGCAATACGTACCTAAATGAATGAATGAATCTCCCTATGCTCTTCCTTTCTAATTGATACCACCTTGAATTTTATTTGCACTTTGAAACAATAAAGGAAGACTTATTATATGAATCACTACAGTCTTGAAGACCAGCAAAATAGAAAACCAACTATTATTATTTGCCTTTTCTCAGTGATATGAGTCCATGTTGGAGAATGACGTCTAATGCAAGACATAAAGGTTGACAAAGATTTGTAGCTGTTATGACATATTGGCGATTCTTATGAACAGTTAACACTACTATACAGGACTAATTAATACTTGTGGAAATATTTGTGCTTTTCCAGCCCAATTAATGTGCTGTCACCAAATTAGCTATTCTAATTCGAGTAACAGCTACCTCCTAACTATTGTGTATGTTTTATCTTTACATGTTATAATATTTTGACAAGTAAAACACAGGGTATTCTAAAACTATTGACCTTTTTCAAGTTTTTCCTGACTGTGTTTTTTTAATCCATTTCAATTTACTGAAGGAGACAGAACAAAGAGTTAAATATTTACCGTGAGAGAGCAACATTGGTAATTACTTTGATTTCAGTTCCTTTTTATGTGTAGTTATGGGATGAAGAGGTCAATAATATTATGACCATGCAAATAGAAAAGGGTTCTTTTTGACCATATAAAAAACAGCAAAGGATTATTAAAGCATTAACCTTGATTTTAATGGCCTTGGTTGAGAGCTGAGATCACAATTTGGATGAGCCTGATTATTTACTAAATACAATACATAAATGCAACGGGTTCTTAACACCCATTGCACTCTGGTATTATCGCATTACTGCCAGCCTTTGTTGCCTTGCAGACAGGAATATGAAAGCAATCTGTCATGTAGTGAGACTGGCTCCAGAAGCATTTCTCTGATAAGAAGACCCCCTGCCCTTTGCTAGTGTCTGGTCCAGTAGGCTTAGCCATGCGCTTAATCCCCAGAAAGTGGTTCGATTATTGCTGACCAGCAATGGCAAGATAGTTTTTTTTCCCCTAGCTATCAACCTTCCATTAATTCCTTAAGCAGAAATGCGGTGCAATCTATATTTCCTTGGCATGTGTCACCCAGATGGTGCACTGCTCATGTTTTCAAATAACCATGCTCCAAATAAGAGACTTTGAATAATAAATTCCACAAATCCTTCCTGAGAAAGTGGCACAATTCTCAAGAGCTGCATAAACTTTACGCATGATGCTGTAGCTCATCCACGTTATGCAGAAAAGTATGTGTTCTTTTGCAAAGCGGATGTTTGTGTTTAAATTTCTTAATTTGAGGACGAGGAAGAAAGATATATGTTTGCTCAAATACTGTAGAATATATTTAATATTTGATTATGTCTTAAACACTAGCCTTAGCTCCGTGGTCAGCTTTGCAGAACTTGTCATTTAATATGGCTAAGCTTAAATCCTGTGTGGAGGTCGATGCTGTCAAGCAACCATGACTGTACATTTTGGTATTGATTGGAGTCATTGCAGTAAATTCCTTCTTAACTCATATTCCTTTCCATCCCAATCCCCTCCCCACAGATAAAAGGGTGAGCATGTCTTTCTGTCTAAGGAGATATTTTTCACGTTTACAGACAGCCTCTATGAAGATATATGTACGCAGCGTTCTGTATGTATATACATTCTTTCTCACACATCCAAAGTAAATGCTCCCATTTGCTCCTAAAATGCTATTTTATCACCTCCAATATTTCCTGCATTTTTTTTCTTCCATCAGATTTCTTATGTTGATATACTTGGACCAGAAGGTAGAAGGATGAAACGTCACCTGGCAATAAACTGTATGCAAGATCTGGTCATTTGCTGGTGGTCAGCAACTAGTGATGGAGGATGGCCTTGGTCTCCTATTTCCTTTCAGAGGGACAGAGCCAACCTATTGCTATTAGTCTGTGCACATGGCAAATTGGAGGTAAAGTGATGAATTGTCTTGTTACATGATTTTTTCGAATTTGCTGAAGAAAGAGCTATTCAACTTAAATGCATATTTGAGTAGATATAAAGAATGGATATGATTAAAACATAAGACAGGAAGATCAGCCATTCTAATAGGAAAAACAAAGGTTTGTTATTTAACAGAAAAGCACATTATTTACTGTGTTTACTATTTTCATATCAAAACTGTCAACCTGAGAAATATAGCCAGGAAATTAGGTCCTTATCATGAAATAGCTTTGGTGCTGCTGAAACTGAAAATAGAAGTGTCAGAGTTCCATTAGAAAACTCTAATATGAATTAGCAATTGTAACTGTTGCATGTATGTCTGATGCAATTGTTTTACATTGTCTGCAATGTTAACTGATAGGCAATTTACATCTCTTTCAAGTATTTTTCATAAAATATTAGCTATGTCCAGATGGTGGTTAAGTTTTTGTTATGAGTATTGGTCAAATCAGGGACTGATATTTTTCTCAAAGGAAAAGTTAAAATTCCCCACCTATAGGTGGGAATGTAAGCTATGAGTTAGGACAAACCTACAAGCTGACCCTCCTCCTGGCACATGCTTAGCTTACATTTATAAGCAGATGTTTTCATTTCAGTTATATAACTTTTGTTTCATCTATTTAAGAATATTTGAATCCAATTTGTTTTGTTAGGTAGAAATATAAAAATGAAGCTGTCTGGGCATACTCTGAAAGATCTGGAGCCTGAATTTAAAATTTAAAAACTTTTCTGGACTAACATCTTGTATAGATGCTTCTGTATTTGGAATTTTATTTTTGGTTTATCTTTACACACTTCTAATATGGACTAGAAAGGCACTGACTGTGGGAGAAGAGCACAAACTCAAGGATCAGCTGTGGAATAGCTGTTCTGGATTAGCTATTGCAGACTATTTCCCTGTAGGGAAAACCTCTAAGTAGCACTTAAGAATGAGCTACTCTTATAAACAGCATTGTCCTCTCTTTAATTAGGGAAGATGTAAATGTTTTAATGTCTTGGAACTATTACTTTGATAACTAATATTCATTTAAGTAAGATTCTTTTCCCTTGGGATTTTCTACGTATTGAAAATGAAGAGAAAAGGTAGCTGAGACAGCTTTTCTCTTCTTGTTTCTGTCATTAGTCACTGTAGAATTGAAGTTTAAATTATCTCCAGCTCTGCTTTCTTTACTTCTTTTCAATTGATCTCTCTCCACTTGCAGTCATCTTTGACTCATCTCTCTCCTCTGCCTGATCTACACCTGCAGTTCTCCATTCCCCCTGCAGCTATGCCAAACCACATAGAAAAATTTACTCTGGGAGCTAAAATGTGAGGCTATTCTTTATAAGTTTTTCCACCTCTGCACCAGTTAACAGGAAACTTCATCCTACTAACATTTCAGACCTTGTTTTTTACCATGACTTCTGTATGTCCAGGTTCTGAGAACAACATTCCTGTGCTTATTTTATTCTTTCCCATGTCTTCCAGAAATCTCCCTAATGACACCATAGCAGTTTTTAGAGACTCTTTTCTTTTAAGAAATTAACAGAAAGCACCCTATCAGTTTAAAGCTCTCTGTGTCACATTTTGTTTTATAATATGTTTTAGGAAGATTTCCAAATCACAGCATACTCTGGCATCTTTAAATACACCTTGTTTTATTCTTTTCTGGTTTAAACTCTAGTGTAGTCTCAAGTACATCACTGGTGCTTTACAGAATAGGACAATAAACATTCTCTGAGGCTTTAGGCTTAAAGTCATAATCGTTTTAATTTGGTCCATATTGTAACAGAAATATAAAAAACTTCTTTTTAAAAGCAGCACTGCCAAATTTGACTGTTCAGTTTCTTTCCCCTTTCTGATTCTTTGCCTGTACTTTTCTGTTTTAATTTTTAGATCTTCAGATGAAATTAATTTTCCTCTATTTATCGATAACATACCAAGCACTATGGCAGGGCTATGGAAAAGTTAGTCATATATGAGTAACAAACTATCTTGCTGGTTGTCAGTTAGGCTGCTCCATGTACTCAGCTCCTGGATGCTCAGGAAGGCTCAGGTCACTCTGCCTATACACTTAGCCTGTATGTCCATAATGAGTCATCCATGGTGATGTTTGCTTGAGGCTTTTTGTTTGATTTTTCTAGAGTTCCTTATGGGCAGGGATTAAATTCCTGTGCATGGATGGGAGAATGTCATAACCCAAAAGCTCTAGAATTAGCATCAAATCCCAGTCTGCATTTAGCTGAGGTGCATTTTTCCCCTACAGTCTTGGAGGGGAACATTAACTTAACATTCTAACTTCTGAAGGACATTGCATCACTTATATGTGAAAAAAAACATAGTTAGCATTTCTAGACAGATTGTAAACAGGTCAGATACCACAAAAATACAGTGATTCTGTAATCATGCTTATTTACCTCTCTTTGCCTCTAATCCCTTGCCGCTTGCAGTATTCCTCAGGTATAGATTTGAAATAAAAACTGGACATGCCATTGTTATTCGTGAAAGTAAATCCCTATTTATCATATTTGACCAGTAATATTAATTTACTCCCAGTAAAAGATTATTGTCAATACAAGAAGAATGAGAAGCGTAAACTTACTCAGGGGTTGCATTGTTCCCTTTTCTTTCTGTGGAATTGTTCCCATTGTTATGCTAAGTATTTGTGGCTACACCTTAGCTCAGTTAGCTAAGGTAACAGTTTCTCTCGCGGGGGGTGGGGAGAGGGGGAACATCGGAAAAGGAGAGGCGGGACAGGGGCCTGGGCTCTCTTACTCGCTCGCTCATGGAGTAAGAAGAAGACGGCCAGGGCATCCTCGCATCCTCCCCGCCATCCCAAGGCCGGGAGCCACGTTCCCTGCTGTCAGATATCGCACTGCTGCCTTCCCGCTTCATCCTACTATCTCCGGACACTCTGCCGAGCACCACGACCGACACCATGAGGGGGGAGTCTCTCCTCCATCCCTCTCACCCCTGGGCCGCTGCCGCCATCACCCAGCCCTCTTCGACTGCACGGGACCTGCCCTGCCCACAGCACCGGTAACTGAGCACAGGGAGAGAGGGCCTTGGCCAAAAGGGACTGGAACTGAGCTACACCGTTCTGTTTTGTTGTCAATTTTTATAGCTGTTGTTGTTTCTTTTGTTTGCCTTGTTAGATGTATTAGTAAAGAGCTGTTATTCCTACCTCCCATATCTTCTGCCTGAAAGCCCCTGATTTCAAACTATAATAATTGGAAGAGAGGGAGTTGCACTCTCCATCTCAGGGAAGGAGTTCTTGCCTTTCCTTAGCAAATACCTGTCTTTCAAACCGAGACATCAGTTTAGAGCATTTATCAGAAAGAAGTGCAGTAAAGTAGTACCACCATACCACCAACATTTTGAAAAGAGAAGTATCAGCTGGATAAAATAGCATTATTTCCTAGAATTAGGAGGAAAACAGAAATTGCTAAATAGCAAGACCATAAAAAGCTGTATGGCATGTTGGGTTTATGAAACCAAGCCCAAGGAAATGAATGGGTGCTCCCCACAGCCATCACCTCAGTGCTGAACTACAGAAACCACAAAACAACCTGCCAGCTGCTGCTGCTCCTGCTGCTGGGGCAGGGCAAAGGCAAATGAACACTTACATGGTACTATTTCCTGCATGGAAGAATTTTCTGAGTAATCCTGGCAGCCCACCAGAAGAGTTCTTATTAGGATGAGGACAGGAATAGCTCTGGGATGAGACAACTCAAGCCCTCATCATGATCATCACCTGTAACTACACGTTCTGTGTTGGGATGATTCACACTGCATGTGGAGTGTTTGGGGTATTGTGTACTTCAGCAGCTTTTCAATTTAGGGAAGGAAATACATTTTACTTTTTAAACACACTAGAAATTTGATTTTAAATTTGCCACATGGCTTTATATTTTTAGCATTTACTACTATTAAGGCTACAGGTAACCACTATTCCTCTACAAACAGAAATAATTTTTTCCTTGCAAATCTTGACTTATATTACTGGGGGTTTTTTTGAGATCAGTGTTTACTGTGTTGAATGCTGTAAGATTTGGTGGAGAATTGTCCCTTGAAGAAGTAAAAGTGCTTTTCTCTGTCGCATGTGACCTTGCTTCGGTGTGCAATGAATGTTGCTGCAGGAGTAATTGCCTGTTGGACCTTTGTCTGCTTTCCTGTGAGCATGGGTTTCCTCCAGTAAACTCACCGTTCTCTAATTTATTTATTTAATTTTTTATTTGGTTTATTCTGTTCAGGGTTGGTTGTTTTTTTTTTAACCTTAAAGTACTAACTACCAAAGAATGTTATTTCAGTTGTTTCCCCGTGGAGATAATGCTGGCGTTTTGATTTCAAAACCAGAAGAGGAATCTTCCAGAAATTATTTCAGACAATTTGCTATGAATGAATAGAATCTGATGTGAAATCATCTTTGGATTAAATGCTTTGAGAGAAAGTCATGTTAAAATCAACATGAACTTTATTCTGCAAACACAAATTAACAAGAGGTGCTGATGCCAGGGCTCAGTTACTGTAGCACTTTGCATTTGTCTTCACCATTCTTATTTTCACTCCGTTTAGTGCTAGTGGGAATGACTGAAATTATACTTCAACCTTGTAGAAAAAATAATTTCCCTGAGAGAGAATATTATTTTTCTTTCTCCCAAGAGATAATATTTAATAGTTATTTTCAATAGTTATTCCACATTGTGCCTTGGATTTGTGAAATAAGCACAGCAGATCTTTTCTGTGGGAGCTGTCCTACAGTTACTGGAGTGCTCAGAAAAACACCTACCCTGTGTGTCTGAATGGCTGAAATACCTCTCACACACATACAGCAAAGAATGTGAAATTCTCAGTGTCACATTAGGTTAGAAGTTCAATGAATAATACAGGATAAAGATGATTATGATAAATTTTGAAAGAAAATAAGAGTAAGTGTTGACTGGAGATCTAAATAATAAGATTGCATGTAGATCTGTAGATACAATTAAGCCAAAGAAGTAACCTAGAGTAGGAGCCTGCATTTTTATTTAGAAATGTTTTTAAATAGGTTAAAATAGGGATTATTCCTTTCAACTTCACTGTGCTGTATTTAAAACTATTTTACTCTGGTGTGCACCACACTTCCCACTTCACATTTCTAATTAAAATGTTTGTTGCTATTTGGAACCTCACTGTGTGAAATTAAATAACCACTTTTTTAACATCCATAAAATAAATCAAACATTTTTTTCTCATCTGAAAGACACAATTCAGTCACAGCAAGCTTATTTCTCTGTTTCTTTTGTTTTCTTTTTTTCATCTGCCTGGTAAGCCAATTTTCTGCTTAAGAATTACTGGTTAGAACTCTTACTTGTTTTGCAATGTGGGCTTTATCCTTTCCCAGCACTCTATGCAAAATACTTCAATTTTAAGTGTTCATAGATTTTCACTGAGAAAAGTGTTACTGCCCACACAAGCTAGCCCTACTATTTCTCTCAAAACATAAAATGAAAGCGTAGCTTAGTAGGCCTCTTGCTTACAAAGATTAACAGATTCCTTTACTTGGATTGTTATGATTCCTGGCTCTAGGATTTGGGAACCTGGCATGTATAGCATTCCCCATGCTGCTGATGGACTGAGGCAGAGTCCAGGGCAGTACTACAAGGGGAAAACAATGTAAATGTGCAGTAGTGGTGCATGACTGCTACATTAATAAAGGAAATATGTATTAATTACATGGACAGTATTTAAATGCGTGTATTTTTGTAGCATTCATGTCATAAACATTTTAAAATTTTTAATTAATGTATTTATTTTAAAGAAAGTAATTGGTTTTACTTCATGCAAAATACTTCCAGAAATCTTTTCTTGAAATCCAAGGCTAAGTGCTTAGTCCAAGATTTATGGGAAGTATTTAACATTGAATGGACTATACACCCTGCCTTGTGATATTGCAGTTCTGTCTTTTCAGATCCACTGCCCTGTTCCCTCCTCCACAAATCTGACACTTGTACTACCCATTTCTGAGGAAACTCCTCCAGCTTTTGCTTTCCCATTCCATAAGCAAATGTTTTGTTAAATGTTTTAATGTCACCTTTTCGGGTTCTAGAGAACTGCTGCTCATCAGGAAGGAATCTTCCTTTAAATGGAAAGCTAAAGCACTATATGCACTACATTTACTACCATGTGTCTACTTGCCACATAGAAAAACAATTGGCAGAATACCATCTTCTTGGGAAAAAAGAAGTTTTGATTATTAGACTTCTTATCTTTCAAATGCATTATCTTAGCATTATTAACATTTCTGTAGTTGTGTCTCTCTGCTTTAGTTTTCCAGTTAATGGCATGAAGAATGAATAATAAAACAAATTTTTGACAAAGAAACCCAAATCTTCCCTCTCAGATGAAAGAGAATGTTCATTTTTCCCCTTCAGAATGCTGAATACCAGATACATTCAGCAGAACTGGAAGGCAGAACAAAGAGGTCTCTCAGCTTCTCGGCACATGAGGTCACTGACGCATGAGAAGCAGCTTATCTGTTCCAATCGGAGGAGACATGTTTCTCTTGTTTTTAGCCAGAATTTGAACAGCAGTGTCTTTCCTTTAAGCCTTATATGTTTAAACATTATGCCAGACTTTATGTTTTGAAAAGGAACAAAGAGTTTCTCTCCTTGCAGGAACTTTTTCCTACTTTAGAATTGTATTATATACAGTAACCAGACCTACACTAGACTTCATTTCAAGGATTTGCTCTCAAAACTATGTGAAGCTAGGAAGCTTCTCATCTCAAAGCTCATTAGATTAGTCTTCCAAAATGGAAGATTTTACTTCCTTTGGAATTCAAGGTAGTGATCATCATTTTGTCCTACTTTTGCTCTGAGAAGACAGGACAAAATGATGAATTCAGACTTGCTGACTCTCAAACAATCATATAGCAACATTTATTTTTTCTGTGACTGTTTCCATTGCTGTTTTCCTCCAGTCACTCCTATGGAGTTGTAAAATCTGTGTTTCACATATTTTCTTCTCTATTGCCTTAACCTTCAGGGCCAGTCTCTCTTCAGAATTTAATAGTGCTTTCAGTCCCTCGTCTCTCATAGACCTGATTACTGTGTGGATCTTCATGACTTTCTTGGAGCTTTTGAAGTGTTGTCCAGAGAAAAGTACTGGTTTGGGGTGAAAATATGTAGCAGAATAATGCAGTACATTTAAACTTTTGCCACAGGAAGACAGAAATGTGAATCCCAGAGAGTCTCAAGGCTCATTTCACTGAAGTTATGGAAGCTTTGAAGACTTGCTTGGGCAAGATTTCTGTTCCACACATTTGAAAGGGAGTTGCCTGGGTCTCTAAGCATAATCCTAGGGAAAACTGCAGAACAAACAGAAACACTTCACTTTGTCTTTATTTGGGGTTAGGGAACTCTGTGGTCACAGTAATCCTTCATCCACAATAACCTCTTTTAGGAGTTTCCTTGCCATGCAATTTAACACCCTAATAAACACACTTCAGCAGTTCTAACATCTGCACAGTAGCCCTGCAAGGTGTTGTGGGCATAAAATGGCTAGTTGCAGAAGCTTAGCCATTGGTGAAGGAATGATTGAGGTGAGAAAATGTTTTTCAGACTATAAAAGTAATGTAATTTTTTATTTCCTCTTTGATACATATTTTCATGGATCTCTGTTGAGATTGGTTAATGTGGTTTTCACAGGTTGGATGCATTGGCTTCTGCATCAGTTGCTTTGGCATTAAGTGGTTCTTTGCAAGTCCCTAGCTACCCATCTAAAAGTAGCAAAGATTTTTGTATTAATTGTCATCTGTTTTTTAGCCAGAGAACTGCAATAATACTTTTTTCTTTCTTTTGAATGAGAAACCCTTTTGACAAAATAAGTAAACTGTCAGAACAAAACATCCTAATCAGTCTTATCAACATCTCAAAAACCTTGTTTATAAATTTATCAGTTACTTTAGAAATAATGGGTGGTATGCCAAAAAAAAATCTGAATTTCTTACTCTCCTTTACAGGATGACAGGCTAAATTGCATATTCAGTTGGTCTTGTGATCTGTGGAAATCAAATTTAAATTGCACTAAAATTATGTGTGCCTTTCTGTTTTCACCATGAAATTTCTAGATTTCCTTCCTCATCTTCCCTCTACCTTTTAATTACATTTTTTCACCCCCTTCTTTTCTTTCATACCACCTGGACTCAAGGAGCTTCCAAACGTTGTGGCAGGTCAGCAGCTTTAATTTACAATATGGAGATTGTTGTGGGTATACATGAGGGCAGAGTTCAACTCAAGTTCACATTTTCCCTTCACTCTTTATTTCTGCATGAAAAAACACCAGCAAGTTTTGGACTGACTTCCACTACTCTCATTCTTCTAGAGCCATGGGTTTGCTCTCTGTTTTTTATGAAAGAGCTTTTCATAAGCTCGTCTGTAACTTATTTACAGCTGATTTTTCTCCCACAGTTTTCCTGCTCAAATCCTGTACAACACCTCTCATTCGAACCCATTTATCATCATACATGAACCTTCACTGGTCTCCAGTACTGCTTCCACCTCTTAAGGGTACTTCCCATATTTCCATACTACATATTCTTGCTCTTTGCCAGCTGCTGTCTTTTTATCACATTCTGCTTTATTTGTTCTTTCTCCAGTTCACTTAACTTTCAAGTAGCCTGTAATGGTCCCTGCTTTTCTGCTGCCACAAATTCATTTTTTATGCATCTAAAACTGTATGGCACTGAAGAACATCTACCACCTACTCATTTGGCAATGTATGGTAGGTGCTGTTTTAACATGCCATTGTTTCTACCACTACAGTGCAATATTTTCTGTTACCATGGCCAAAAGAAAATGATCAAAAATCCTCTATGCTCAATGCTCTGAGTAACTTACTATAGATTTTTTGAGGAATTTTGGGATTTTTACCCCAGCCCACTTGTGAATAATTAGTTATTCTTTTACATCAGTCCTTTCTCCACTTACAATCACCTCTTCTTTGATCTTTTGTTCTGCTAACCTATTACATAGGTCCAGAGAAACAAATATGGGTTAACCTTTTGAATAAATGTTAAAGGAATAGATTTCAGAGCTCCATTTTGAGAATGCCTATTTGTGACTGTCCCACAGGAAAGCGCATTTGCAGCAGTCTATTTTTAAGAATAAATTGCTACAAATGAGTACCAAAAGACTTTGAATTTTTGCTAGGTGCTGAGTTACGTCCACACGGAGTGGGAGCCCCTGGATGCCAGGTTCAGCTCTCTCCAGCCCCAGCAGGTGCTGACAGTGGAGCACTCGGTGTCCACAGCCAAGGAGCCCATGGCCAACAGCTGTGTCTACAAGTGCGTCAGGAACAGAATCCAGTGCGCCGCCATCACCAGGATCCCCCTGAGAGCCAAGGCCATCAGCTGCTGCAGGGATGTGACAGAAGACAAGCTGGTGCTGGGCTGTGAAGACTCCTCAGTAGTTCTGTATGAAGCCTACAGCCAAATGACTCTGTTGGCCCAAGCAGAGCTGCTCCCTGTTGTAATAACCTACCACCCCTCTGGAGCTGTGCTGGTGGCTGGCAGCTCTCAGGGGGAGCTGCAGCTTTTTGACACAGCACTGTCACCGATTAAAATTCAGCTCTTGGCACAGGTCTATTCACCTGAGGCAACTCTGCAATTCAGTAAACACTGTGAGGTATCCACCAGCCTCGTCAAGGTCCAGTGGGCTGCTTCTCCAGATGCATTTCCCAGTCCTGACAGCATGGATATTCATGATCTTTTGTTGGTTAGATTTGATAAAGGACCCTTGGGAGTGCTTCACTTTAAACTTGGTAAGTTACTAAGCACATCTGTTGAACCTTGAGCTGTCAAAGAAACATCTGTGTCCCACAAGGTTTGGAATACCCTAATTTTAGGTATATGAGGCCATAGCCTTAAAAGCAAATTGTTCCGAAGATATCTAAAGATACCAAGGAGTTCTTTATGTTTCACAATAACTTCGTACCTTTTCCTATTAATAGAGTAGGACCCTGATCTGCTGTCTGATCACCATGCCATAATGTTCCTTGCTACTTTAATAAAGCGCGACATTTTTTCCTCTGGAAAATTAATTTAATCTGTAATATATAATCTTAAGAATTGTATTCATTTTATAGTAATAATCCTAATAAGTTAAAAGAAACTATATGTAATGGTGGAATAGTAATGCTCTTTTCTTTCCAAATTTTATTTTGCATGTATGTTTTATGTTTGTCCAGTATTCTGCTCTTCCATGTACTGGCTTCAGTACATGAAGTTGCACCTTTTTTTTCCTTTGAAGACTTTACACAGAAGAAGAATGACTTTCATAACCTTCAGAGAAGTTTGGTCTCTCAATTAATTTGCAAGGAGTTGTGAATAAAAGAACTAATAATGCTAATTTTAGAATTTATATAGCACTTCTCGTTTTAGGTGTGAAGAGAACTTTAAAAGCGTAAAACCACAACTAACTTCCTTTTACAAGTAGAAAAACAAGAAGCAGTAAAGAAAAGCTAAAGGGCTCTCCCAGAGTGACACAGTGGCTGAACTAAGAATAATACCCCTGCAGTGGCTCATCAGTCAGAACTGTATTCATTTCATTCAAGTCAGGCAAGTTACAGTGATGCAAGCCCATTGTGAGAGTTAAAAACAATCATGCTTAAACCCTCTGACTCCCAAGGCCAGTGTTTCAGCCAGGCAGACAGCCATCCTGGAAAATTTCAGCATTTTGCCTATTATCTGTCCAAGAAAACAGGATTACTTCTGTAGATCTTTATGAGAGTTTTGAATGATTCTTTTGTATAAAGCTATTGAGATTAGGAAGAAGCCTTTTTAATAACAAAAATAAAAACAACGAACAAAAACCAAAACCAAACAACATGCCAAAAGACTCAAAATAACAACCTAGGTGATAGTAAGATTTGAAAGTCTACATTATTTCTTTACTTAATGAGACATACATATCCTTTGTGGGGAAAAACCTATCTAAAATTACTAGAGACCTAAACATTTGAAAGACTGAATTTAAAAAGTTTAACTAAGGGTGCCACTGCAAAAAGGTAAATTAATATAACAGGATGTTAGTAACAAAAAAATGTTAGATTGACTTACAGTTGTGCAGTTTTAAAAGAGCTAATTCAGATTATTGCAATTACCCAAAAAAGCAATTTAAAAGCCTGTTTACAGGTTATCCTTTATTTTGAGATAATTAGATGCATTAAGTTCAATGACAGGTTTAATAGTTACAGAGTACCCCAGAACACTAATTATAACAGCTATTTGATGGTTTTGTGCATGTTGTCCATTAAAAAAACCAAACCTCTGAATTATCTCTGTCCTGATTTGGTGGGATGGAGTTGAGCAGGAGGCCCTTTACCCACCCCTACCTTTCTTTTCTTCAGTTCTCCCTGGTGAGGCTTTCTCACAACAGCCTTCCAGAATGCACAGCTTTCCCCTTGCTATCTTTAGCACATTTATGTTCTTACCAAGGCAAACAGCCTCTCAGTACAGGGATTTAGAGGCCTTTCCTGCTAATTGCCAGCTTGTAAACTTAATTGGACTGTCTCCCTGGGCACCATTCCTAAATCAATTAGGCAGTGAGTTGGCTGTCACCTCTTCTTCCCAAGCAGGTTGCCTGGAAGTGCACCACCCAGGAGAAGTCAAGCATCCAAATGGGAAGATGTTGACCTCTACAGCTGAAAGTTATCACATTTTAAAATTCATTCTGTATAATTACTGTAAAATCTCTTCTAGGAAGAAGGCAAAGCTCTATCCCTTCTTCCCTCTCTCCCTCTTTTGTAGTCCACCATGCAAAAATATGCTGCTCTCTATTTCATCCTGGTGTTCAGCTTTACACCTCTTCTCCCCAGTTTGCTACACTGCCAAGGGAACATTGGGTTGATTAGTGAGTCCCTCTTCACAGTCTCAGCAGTTTTTAGGTTTCTGCTATTTAAGAAATAATGCAGAACAAATAAATTAATTAAATGCAATAATAAATTATTGCAAAAATTTAGAGGCTCATAACAGCAAGACCCAGACAGGCATTCAGGATATAAAATCCATGAGTAACACATTGCTTGGAATTGTTTCCCACAGAAGTCTGTTAAGAAACTATGTCAGTGAGAATAGGCAAATATATTTTTAACTTCCAGATACATTATGGTTTTGGACAAGTTCTGTGAATCTCCACTGTGCTGTCTATCCAGATTTATTTCAGGAAAAAGTCATATTAAACATACCCTGAAACACTAATGGCAAATATTTTAGGTGTCTAATGCCAAACTCATTTCCAAAAGTGGTTTCATGTCAGCCCAGATCTTGGAAAATGCGAAATGTGGTGCTGGTGCCAGTGGTTCAGCATTGCTGGCCTCTAAATGCATTTTAAATATAGTATCATATCTAATTAACATGAAAATAAGTGTTTTCATCTTCACTGAGAGGTTAATGTGAAGATTGCCAACTGCTGTAATACTTTAAAAACATTAAACATTTAGGAAGAATAAAGTCTGCCATAACTATTAAATATTAGCAAGTTAAACATGGCTGTTACCCAGCATAATGTCCATAGGTTTTAATACATGCAAATAGAAGGTGAAATGCATAGGAAACCTTTCTTTAATGAAGCTAAAAACTCCTCTGTAACGAAATATAAATATGTAAGGTTTTTCCTCAAAAACATCAGTTCTGTATATGCAGATTCTCAACAGTTTACTTCTCCTCAAGCTATATTCAGATGTTTTCCTCCACTTGTTTTCCCCTCACTTCTTATTTCACATCACAAAAGGTATTCACAACAGTTATGAAAGTTTTGTTAGGCATGTTTTATATATAACAGGTCTGCTTTTCTTTGTTATCAGGATTTGTTTTCCCCAGACAGTCCTATGGTTTTAATACCAGTATTGAAATTCAGCTTGTTCCCTTTCTCATCAGAACTTTTTCCATATATTTCGTTTTAACAAACAACATCAGAATATAAATTGATAAAATTGAAAAACAAAAACAAAACCCCAAAATTATGTTTTTATTTAAAGGGAGAGAAACAGTAAATATATTCTGGTTTCTTTCTAATATTTGGAGGAATACTGATAAAGAGAACTCTATCAGAGTGACCCAAAATGAGCAGGAATTGCTAAAATGCCATGTGTGGCCAATGTCACATGATCATTTGGTTAGTCAGAGACAATAAATAACATTACTTCCTGCAGCTTTTTAGTCACCTTTTCTGTTTGGAAGCTGAGCTGTACAAGTCAAGAAACATTTGTGTCTAAAACTTGCTGAAAGCTTGTTCTTGGTTTCATGTGCAACTGTAATTCAAAGGTCTGTAGTATCAAGATGTTGATAACTTCCATGATATCCCCTCAGAAAAAAACGCTCCACTTAGAGAATATTGCCAGACTAGAAGGAAGTTCTAGAGCACTTGCAGTATGGAGAGTAATTGAGTAAGAGTCGCTTTGAGGCTGGAGCTGCTCTGCACTTGTACGCAGAGATACATGTATGTGAGACAAATGCTGGGGTTTAGTGTTGTCCAGCAATATTTCCCTACAGGAAGGAGACGCTGTGAAAGCTAATTTATTACCCCTTACAATAGTGATAAACTGCAAATAAACTTGTTCTGCCTTGTCTAAGACAAACTTCATTACATGATGTTGTCACCAGTGACATTTGGCTACGTTCATTCAACATTCATGTGTGAAGTTCATTGATGATTTTTGTCTTCTGTCCAGCACACTCAGTCTAAGTATACCAAGATAGTAAGGTGCTATCTCTTATAAAAAGATTAATAGTGAAACCGATCAACTTAATTTTAAATTATGGCAATTACTTTTGAATGTGCTGAAAAGGAGTCAGCTACTGGTTTACATATTTTGTATCAAAGTAAAAACCCATTATCTCTGGGTGTAATATTTCTTGTTAAAGGTGTGCTCACAAGAGGACAACTGGGCCTTGTGGAAATCATCCACCAGCACATTCGTTATGATGAGATACAGGAGGCAATCAATGTCCTGAGCACCATGAACTGGAACACGATGGGTCAGCAGTGCTTTATCTGCCTGAGTGCCATTTGCAACCACCTCCTTAAACAAAAGCCTACACCAGCCAGAGAAGGTAAGAGACTATATTTCTAATGGATTTTTGTGATGTCTTGTTAATTCACGTGTGGATTATGACAATATTTTTATTGACTGTATAAAGAAGACAGTAGTCAGAATCCAGAGAGCCAGATTATGGTGCCTCATAATCATATGTCATTGTAACAAGTAATTTCAATAAAATCTGGACTAATGCGTTGATTACATTTTAGTTTGTATCAATAGTGACATTAAAATAATGCACATTGTAATATATATATATATATGTTACAATATTACTTATATAGCACTAGCATTATATTCTGTAACTTCATTACATTCTATAAATTTAGCTTATGTTACAGACAAAGGTTAGTTAATACAGGATTGAAATATTTGTGTTACGTTCATGCTGAGACAGCACCAACTTAAGGAGGGATGTTTTCCTGCAATGGGGACAAGAGATTTTAGTATGTTTTTTAAGGTGCTTTCAAAGAGTCATTCTTTCATTACAAGATGCAAAGGCCTTGAATTTACTATCCTCTGCTGCCTCCTTTAGGGTTAAAGCATTTGTCCTCTCTGTAATCTAGCCCCCTGCAGTAGTACCTGGGGTCCCTCAGAAGGAATTGTGCATTTTAGATTTAGCCTCATCTCTGCTGAAGCCTGGTGTGGTGCCTTCCTCTTGATTTGCTGTCTATCTTGAAACTCAATAGACTTCAAGATTTGAAGTGCCTTGATTTAGTGAAGGTGTTATCCTCCAGTCTAGCAGGCAGACAGCTGGAGACCAGGCATCTTTTGTGGGAAGAGAGAATACTTAGGATTCTGGTGTGTTTGATGATAGAAGAACTCCAAGGTGTCCTACATCTCTGCCAAGCCATCAGCTATCCCATTTTGTGGGATCTGATTTAAAAAATCTCTGCATTGCAAACACAACATATAGACTCTAAATAAAACATGCTTTGAAAAAGACCTGTGAAAAGGGCTGGCTATGATACTCTTCTAAAAATATGCACATTATAAACAGATGTCTGTGTGTTTTTCCCCCATGCAGCTCCCTAACACTGTTTAAAGCAGAAGGAATTTTATTCTATTCAGGAGTTATTCTATCTAAATCTAACAAATTTGGCATGGTAATTTGTTTTCTTTTTATTAACAAAACCCAGTGGGACCTTTTATTCATAGTGATGGGGCAGTTATCTTTGAGATCTTTGTCATGCCTTCAACATCAAGCTGGGCTATTTAATGAATGTATAACTGCTAGTAGTCACTCATATTCCATATGTTTTTGGTACTTTTTCTATTTTAATCTAAATTGACTGCTGCTTTGAAAGAAAATACCTTTAAAGTTTGACTTATCTTGCTATCTAGATTGGAGATAACACAAAACTAATTTACTAACAGTTTGCCTGTGTAACTAACACAGTACTATTAGCACATGTGGTGCTATCAAGCCTAATAAAATCAAATGTAACTATGCTTGGAAGTAAAGAACCATTGTCACTAAATACAGGAATGCCTAGTTCAAATGAACATTAATAATGGCAGATCAATGGGATTTTGTCTGCCTAATGAGACAATAGGTTATATTTTGCTTGTAGAGCAACATAAACATACAGCAAATATACATATATATATAGCGAATTCTCCTTTTTCTGCCTGTAAGGCCTTGTACTACATTGTTTACTCTCAAGCAAAAGTCAATAAGCATAAATATTATTGATCAGCTAGGCATGTGGGACACATAAGTATACTGTATGTTTACTTGTATTGTTTATAATTCTGTATTAAAAATGTGAAGAAAAATGCCTAAGAGCTTGAGCTGTAGAATATAGCAGTCAGAAAGTATCTAAAGAGGAGAGAACTTGTGTAACAAAAAAGCTTTCTTTATTTTATTGATTACAATGGAGGTTATCCTGTTTCCCACCACTACATGCTGTCAAACCCTTAGGGTTTCTAGACCCTTTTATTTAAAATTTTTAAAGAACTGTGGGCCAAAGGAGGTTCCTTAGACCTCAAGGCCATCACAAAGAGGGTTCTGTTACCTGCTGACCTAACAAAATAATCCCTGAAAAACTGAACTCCCTTGTTGTTTGCCTAAGAGGACAAAAACGATTTGAGCTAATTGAGAGTTGATCTTTACTGGACAATCTTGTTCACACTGTATTAGTCTCATGAGTCACTTTTAGTTGTAGGCTGGTGAGAACTTGATGTGTTACAGACTTCCTTATCCTTTTGATAGCTTTTGTTGCTCAAAGTCATTGTCAGCTCTGCCTCCAAGCCAAAGTTTATATGCACATTTCTGTTTGTACAATCTGTCATATTTTAATTTCATCTGTTCTACAACAACATCACATTTCATCAGAGTTTGTCGAAGTTGACTGACTGCAAACATTAGCAACCTGTTGTAATTGAAACTAATTCACTTGTTTCATTGCCGCTGTGTTTGAATTCCACAGCACAGCTTGAGGCAAGCCTTGGAACCTTTTATGTTCCAACAAGGCCTCTCTTGGATAGAACTGTGCTGGAGTACAGGGACCCCATCAGCAGATATGCAAGAAGGTTCTTCCACCACCTGCTCAGGTGAGTGACAGTTTCAACTTCTATCAACTTAAAATTAATTGCGTCTTTCAATAGTTACCTACTTTAATGTGGTTTCCAAGAGGACTACCCCTGAAAAAAATGCATTCATTGTTATTGTTTGTTTAACTTGCACTTTGTTCCTTTCAAATAGAGTAATGCAGATAAAGTGCTATTCAGAGCTCTTCTGTCATCAATACACTTAAAATGAATCACCCTTTCCCATTTAGCTTGATAGAAGAAAAGATAATAAGCTTCTGAGAGATTCACCAACTGCTTGCAGATTAGCTATAGAAGGAACTTACAGCTGAGAAAACACTGGGTTTAAAAAGATGCTACAACACAAAAGAATGCTGCATGGTCCAGCATTGGACCATGCAATCTGAACATTTTGTTATTCTCATCTTTAAAATTCTCATATATAAACATGTTCCAGTAATTTTCAGTGTCATTAAAATAAAAGGAGAAAATGCAATATTGAATTTGTCTGTGAATTTTATAGAATCGTAGAATGGTTTGGGTTGGAAGGGACCGTAAAGATCATCTCATTCCAACCCAGCCACCATGGGCAGGGACGCCTTCTACTAGACCAGTTTGTTCTAAGCTCCATCCAACCTAGCTTTGAACATCTCCAGAGACAAGGCATTCACAGCTTCTCCAGGCAACCTGTGCCAATGCCTCACCACCCTCACAGTAAAGAATTTCTTACATATATGCAACCTAATTTTCCCCTCTTTCAGTTTGTAGCCATTACTCCTTGTCCTACCACTGCAGTTCCTGACAGAGTCCCTCTCTGGCTTCCATGTGGGCTCCTTCCTGGCAGGTTGCTATGAGGTCTTAAAACAACCTTCCCTTCTGCAGGCTGAGCAGCCCCAACTTCCTCACCTTGTCTTCACAGGAAAACTGCTCTGATATTAGATGACAAATAATAACAAATTCAGCAAGAATTTATAGTACATTGTTTATATTGTTGTATTTTTTCCAATCCATTATAAATATTGATATGCAGCAGTTTAACCTGTTCACAAATATAGCTGTGATATTCCCTTTGAGAATTATCCAGTGGATGCAAATAAGGAGAAATTACCTTCTGAATGATACAATGTTTGTTGCCTCTTGTTGAGAAGGAGTGTAAATGGATATACTGTGAAGACTTACAATGCACCTTTTTGCAGTGATTCCTCCAGATTGTAAATACATTGTCTGCATGGGCAAAGCAAATTACTTTGATAGCATATAATGTGCTTTTATCCAACTCTAAAAGAAAAGTATTCTATATTGTCTTCTACATTTTGAGTCTGAAGAGGATCATCTTTCTGGTGAATGAGTCCATTCCAGTGAGGAAATAATTCCTTGTAGAAAAATGATCCAACATTTGCATAATATATGTCAGTCTTCCACTGGAGTTTTCTTAACACACCTGGCTACAGCAGTGGGTACAAACTCTGTTATTGCCTTTCTCCTAGAAACCAGCAGGGAAGATGCGCTTATGGCAGTGGCCAACTTGTTTCGGCTGTGGGCCAGTTGCCTGCAGAGGACAGATGCAGGAAAAATGCCTCAGAGATTGCTGAGAGGTGTAATTCCAGTGCTCTTACATCTGCAAGAGAAACGTGTATTCCCTCTGATCCAGGATTTGCTTCCAAGTGCTAGCAGGCATGCAGAGGCATGGGGCCCTGACTAAGATGCCAGCCCTTGAGGCTGCAGCTGAAACACTGACTCAATCCTCCTAAAACAAGAACCTTCAGTGTCACAATGCTGTCTGTACAGCATAGGGCACAGCAAGAGGTGTGCACGAGAGTCTCCTCATGTCTTTTACCTCTCACTTAAAGGAGCCATTGAACAATCTACAGTTGTGGCAGTTTTTGGAACAAATGTGTTCTTTTGCTGTTTTCTTGTTTTCAAAGGGATTTGTATTCAACCGAATCAAAGTGATAGGGTCATGTGATTGCTGCAGAACAGATGGTAATGCTTAAAGCTTTTCTCAGAAGACATAACCTAAGTACAAAATTAAATGTTCAATATGGGAGATTTATCTGATAGAAAGCAAGGAGATGATGTTCAGAGCTGATCATTATTGCATTAAAGTGACTGTGCCTTAATTGGTGTTTATTTCCTTTTAGATGTATTCTTAAGTGTCTAGAATGGTTTAAATACAGGCTAAGCAGAGAGAACTACAGATTTGTTGGGGAATAGTAAGCCATGGTTTTGGGTGAGTGAATGCCATCCAGGCATGATGCAGTGTGTAGGAGGATCATAGGAAGGCACGGTGCCCACTGTTTCAGGCACATGAAAGTTGCAGCTGCCTCTATTACATCTGTCTGTGATAGACTAGCAAGGCAAGGCACTTCTGCCAGCCTGATTTACAGCTGTGGGCTCAGAACAGGAGGAAAAGTGAGAAGGGAATTATGCTCCTTCTCAGGTCACTATGTTATGCCCATGAGGGCACTGAAAATGGGGAGTTCATCCCACTGCCTGTTTGTCAGGAAAAGCAAGGTCAGGTAACATGGAAGGAAGACAGAGATTCTGTTTGCCACTGCAGGGAGAAAATCTGTGTGGCCAAAGCTCAACTGGAGCTAAAGCTGCCCAGAACTGTGGGAGGCCATAAAAACAGGGTTTTTGAAATGCATTAATATAAAAAAAAAGAGTGCAGAAATAACATCAGCCTGTTACAGAATGAGGATGGTCACCTCACAAACAAGGCCATAAAGCAAAGACGTTTAATGCTTTCTTTGTCTCTGTCTTCAACACCAATGATGGGGTAAGGGGCTCACAGTGCACTGAACTGAGCCCTGAGGACCATTCCAGTGCTCCAGATGGACGTCCATGAGTCTGTGGGACCTGATGGGATTCATCCAAGAGCTGGCTGATGTTGTGGCTGAGGCCATGTGAGGCCTGTCTCCATGATTTTTGAATTGTCTTGGGAATCTGGAGAGGTCACAGCTAACCAGAAGCTGGCAAACATTGTCCCAGTTTTCAAGAAGGGCGAGAAGGATGACCCTGGAAACTTCAGGCCTGTCCCATTCACTTCAGTGACTGGTACATAATGGAGAAGATTATTGAGGGAAATACTGAAGAACACCTGAAGGACAATGCACTCAGTCACAGCCAGCACAACTTCATAACAGGAAAGTCCTGCTTATCAAACCTGATTTCCTTTTATGACAGAGTAACTCACCCAGCTGATCAAGAGAAGCCAGTTGATGTTACAGTTTTGGATTTCATTAAAGCTTTTGATACTGTCTCTCATAGGATCCTTCTGGACAAAATGTCCATCTGCCAGCTGGATAAACACATCCTGTGATGGGTGAGCTCATGGGTGGGGCACAAAGGGTTACAGTGAACGGGGTGACTTCAGACTGGGGACCTATCACTACTGGGGTCCTGCAGGGCTGCGTTCTTGGCCCTGTGCTCTTCAATGTCTCCATAAATGACTTGGATGCAGGACTGGGAGGGACACTGAGCAAGTTCACAGACAATACACAACTGGGAGGAGCTGTTGACTCCCTCCGAGGCAGGGAGATGCTGCAGAGAGACCTCAACAACTGAGAGGACTGGGCAATCACCAACCATAGGAAGTTTAACAAGGGAAAGTGCCAAATTCTGCACCTGGGACAGGCAAGCCTTGTTGTGTTTATAGACTGGGGAATAAGAGGCTGGAAAGCAGTGCCATGGAAAGGGACCTTGGGATCCTGGTTGATGGAGAGCAGTGCCCTGGCAGACAGAAGGGTCACTTGGTTTGTTCAGCCTGGAGAAGAGGAAACTGAGGGAAGACCTCGTTGTGGTCTTCAGCATCCTTATGACGGGAAGTGGAGAGGCAGGCACTGATCTCTTCACTCTGGTGACCAGTGACAGGACCCAAGGGAAAGACCTGGAGTTGTACTGGGAGAGGGTTAGGTTTAATATTAGGAAGAGGTTTTTCACCCAGAGAGTGGTTATACACTGGAACAGATTCCCCAGGGCAGTGGTCACAGCACCAAGCCTGACAGAGCTCAAGGAGTGTTTGGGCTGTGCTTGCAGGTGCAGGGTGTGACTCTTGGAGCTGACCTGTGCAGGGCCAGGAGCTGGACTTTGAGGATCCTTCCAACTCAGGATATTTGATGTTTCTGTGATTCTAATCACTTTTTTACCTTTTTCATTTGGCACTGAATACTTGCGGGCCAGTAGGCTAGTTACAAATTGCTAATGTATCTCTTCAGAGTGATTTTTTTCATCACAACAGATGTGTCTGCATGACCAAAGAAGACTTGGATGCAGAAGCCCTGTAAACTGAGACTATGAACTTGATGCAGCATTAGGGGGCATTTATTACACTCTTGTGAGCATGAGGAGACAAAAGGAAAGTGATCATTTTGTACCCTACCACAGCAAGAAGTGGAGGAAACATTACTAAATTATATGCAATAAAATTGTGGTTGATATTCAAAAAGTATTTCTTGGCATAGAGTAGGGCCTTCTGCAGTTCATTTGGGCTTCAGAAAGAGCAAGCAGCATATTCACAGAAGTTAAACCTAGAAGATAAAGAACTAAGGAGAAGAACTCAAAAGTTTGGTAGGAAGAACAAGGAAAGTGGAGTTAGGAGCATGAGTAAAAGACAAGGTGTTGGGGACAAAGGTCTGAAGGCAGGTGTGGGAATGTACAGTGTTCTGCAAGAAGGGCAGGGTGGCAGCACAGAGCCAAATGGGGAAAGGCATCTTAGGATGTGTGTGATGGGCTGTAGAGGAGACCAGACACATCAGGGATGGACAGGGAAGGGTGGAGTCCTTCATACAAGATTAAAACACTAAAACGTTTAAATGTTTTGAGATCTAAATCTGGAAAATGCTCATATAAACAAAAGTTTTCACCCCCCTCTCCAGCTTTCCTTTGAATACCTCACCAATCTGCCTTAAGCCTTTTTAGAAGGACCAATTCACGGGAGAGAAATATTAATCCATTCTACATGCTGAGACAGTCTTTGACCTGCTTGCTGAGTCTGCCAAAAAGTGCCATTTATTGTTGTACTT